GAACTGAGTTTGGTACAGTGGGCACATTTTTGGGGAATGTGTGTTTCCCCCAGGCATTTTATACAATGAGGGCGGCCATCAGAGAGCGGAATAGCATCCTTACACGTAGAGCAGCGCTTAAAGCCTGTGGAGCCAGGCATGGTAGAAGCGGCTGCGGCTGAGAGAAATTTTTTTTTTAAACAGATAAAAGAACTAATGAGCTACACTAACAAACAAACTAACTACTAGAACAGGTAATAGTAACAAAGTGAGGGATTTCCTAACGAGTCTGCTGAGCTCCGTCTCAGGCCGGGGACAGTAGAGAAGGAACTGAGGAGACTGGCCACGCATGCGCACTATTATCCTAGACTCACTGCGGGGGGCAGCCTCTGCGCATGTGTGGCCAGTACGAGTACTGCTACGAAAAGTCTCCGAGTGAAGGCGCAGGGACGCACCAACACCTAGAGTGGAGCACCCACAGGGACATCTCTCGAAGAAGAACCTTGTGGTTGTGTAGGTGAGTTCCTCAGCGTATTTGGGAGACATGTGTCCCAGGGTGGTAAATGTGGGTAGCGAGAATAACGCTCTCACTTGTACTGCATCAAAGTTGGTGCTGATATAGTCCAGTCACTGTACCGGGGTTCTTAGGCCGCTACAATGAAGAGAACCTTGGAGGATACCCTAGCAGAGCTCACAGCTGGGGGCCCCTTCTCAGGTGCCATGCTTCAAAGCTGCGGTGCCGACCTACTGAGGTGGCCACTCTGGGAAGCCCCACTGGCTGACCAGCTACTCGGAACCCATGTGTTTGGATCGGTGCTGAGATGGCCGTACTGGGGAACCCCTCTGGCTGGCCAGTTGCTCGGAGGAGCCCTTTTTACGAGCCTTTCCGAGGGAAGTCTGCTGGTGGCCTTTTTTATTTTTCTTCTTCTCCTCCTCCTCTCCTCTTCACGACTCGACCCCTTTTGAAGTGAAGGCTCCGGGGATGATCCGGGGTCAGCACTCACCGGAGTCCCCTGCAGACTGAAGTGTTTTCTCCATAGGGAGGCTGCCATTTTAGCTGTGGCAGGTAAAGCACTTCTGTGAGGCTCTCCCAGGCACAGTGAGTGTGTCTGGCCATTACAGGAACTGACTCCTGGCAAGAGAGGCACTGCTTGGAGCAGAGAGAGCCAGGCATGCCCCTGGGCAGGGGGTTGTCATTCTCTAGCAGTCTTCTTTACTTTATTTTTTTAACTGGAAAAAAAAATTATGAGTCTACTAGATGCCCGGGGAGGGAGAGGGGAATGCCCCCAGACAGGGCAGGAAACTGAAGTTCTTTTCCTTTCTCTCTCTCTTTTTTTTTAACCCAAAGGAATAAAATAAAATAAGGAAACACTAGCCTAAGTACTTTTAAGGAGAACAAAGGTAACAAAACAAACACTACTTATGCTAATGACACAAATAAGGAAGGGACAACTGCTCATTCTGTCTGAGGCCAAAGCTGATAGAGAAGAAAGTGAGGAGGGTTCACCCATGCAGTGCTAAATAGCCTCGAGGCAGACCACAAGGGAGGGAGGGCACATGTAAGGGCTCAAGGAACACTGCTACCAAAACTCTCCGATTACACACAGGGCGCACATATACCTACAGTGGAGCACCCACAGGGACACTACTAAAAGAAGAACTGGGTTGTCATAGGGATTACTTTAACTCTCTACTCCTGGAGGAATTTTTGTGTGTGTCTTTATTGTTACAGACATACTTGCTGACAGGTATTTTGAAATAAATTACCAAAATAATTGAAACTGCCATAATTATGTAGTGTTATTTTGACAAAATAAATTTGCAGAATTTTAAAATGTTGTGCACAGAATTTTTAATTTTTTGGTGCAGAATTCCCCCAGGAGTAAATTTAGAATCTTAGTCTAAGGCAGAGATTTGGTTTTGTGTTTGTTTGTTTGTTTTTAGCTTCCAGGGCATGACCAAGGAGTGGGCAACAGGGGGAGATCAAGGGCTGAAAAAAAAATCAGTCGAAATTCCACTGAGCACTAACCACCAGCACTAACCAAACCCAGCACTCCCCACCAACTCCTCCAGCACTACCACCAAAAGCCAATGAGTTCATGTACCCCAGTCCTTGGTGTAGTTTGGGATTTAACTGAGTCCTAATCACTAACCACACGTGGAAAAATTGAGAGCCACTGTTCTAGGAAAACCTGGGTACACATATTTAAGACCCCCACTCCCCACACACAAAAAATTAAGATTTCCCTTTAAAGTATGGGGGGGCGAACAAACAAAATTTGGCACCCCAATTCTAACTGTTTCAATCAACACTTTCTAAAATGAGTCTTCATTTTACCAAAGATCTTGTCAATGGAAGAATTGGACGGCAGAGTACAGTTGAATATGGAAAAATGTCTCTTTAGTCTCTGTGGGATGTCATTGCGACCTCCACCAGGGTGGATCATGGCTGCCAAGAACTGGATATCAACGATGTTGGTAAACTCCCCTGGTTTCTCCAGGTTATAGAACCCATTCTGTTCCATCAGCTGTCGAACTATCTCATTGGTGACCTATAAAGAGCCCGTTAGGATTAGAAGAATATCTCCCTGATGCATAACGGCATGCAAAATTATTTATGAGTACCCAAAAAACGTAACTCCGAGACAGATTTTCCTTGTCTTAAAAAACACTACATTTTCTTCTGCCATGAAGAAAACAACATTTATAAATTACCAGAAATAGGTGGGATTGGATCGCCCTTTCATCTGGTAATATCTAGAGGAGGGATCTCAGAGGAAAATAATCACATGTATTTCAAATACCTCAATAACCTGACCAGAGTGGGAAGCCATTTCACCTATGTCACAAGGAAAGAGAAAAACAACAGATCAGCATTAAGCCAAATTTCAATACTTAACTAACCTGATCTCCCCACTCATTGATTACAGGCATATTCACATCATCAATGAAGACAGTCATCTTCTTGCCTGCAGGAGGACCATATGTCGTCCCCATGCGTTTGTCCACATAACTCTCTATTGTACGCTGTAAGAAAAAACTTTATTACCTAAAGCTGTACAGTTCCTCTCCATCAAAGGATAGTTTATTCTTTTTAAATGCACCCATTTAGTAGCAGGAACTCTTCAATAGCGAAGGCATACATGGGTACTCTTCAGACTGTTTTGAGGAGATTTCCACTAAGAAATGCCACTGGCTTTGTAGAATTGGTAAATGGAACATTGGTTTCTGAAGTGAGGTAATAGGTTGCTATACAAATTGAACACAAATTGCCTTTAAAAACCATAACTGCTGATGTAGTACATGCAATCCATTTGGCGAATTCTGAGTTGGATTATCCCTTTTTTCCCCCCATGGACGGGTGTAATAAACTAAGTTTGAACTATTGTGATCATAGATAACTGTGTGAAATATCACCTGCATGAAAGATTTAACTCAATTATGAAATAAACACAACTTACAACCATTAGTGTAGACTACATTTTGTAAAGTTTTTAGTCTTTTACACAAGGTTTTAATGACAATCCAATAAAAATGAATGGCCACTTCAGCCAGTTAGTGTGAACTGGCATATTTCCAGACATCAAGAAACATTGAGAATTTGATGAGGGAAGTATAACGTGTCAAAAGCATGAGAATAACCAAATAACCACTGGAATGACTGGAAGAGATGTGGTTCCTGAGGATTTGCTGAAATTGATGAACAATTTTAAAAAGACATATTGTGAGAGAAGCAAGTTACATCCCTGTAGAAAGGCCATTTTGACTGAAGCCCTTGGAGTAGATTGGTGCTTTTGTTTGTTTGTATCTTTGTAATTAGAGAAAGCCTTCTTTTAATGGGATCTTTCTGGCAAATTCTCGGTGTACAAATAAAGCAGTGAACCCAGTCATCTTATTAGAAGTAGAGTGATTACTATACCTGGAACATTAATGGGGTAGTTGCAGATGAAAAGTTCAGACTCTTGGCCATGTGGCTTTCAGGATTATATTTTGACATGAATCCTTTGATGATGACAGTTTTAGCAGTTCCTTGCTCACCAATTAGTAGCACAGCCTAGACAAGGAGAGAATTCAAATGAGCCCAGAGGTGCAAAAGCCAAGTGTGCCAGCAAAGCCTTATCAACCGCAGTATCTATCCTTGTCAGGAATGAAACAAAGAAATAAAAATGTAACTTTCAATGAGAAAAAAATTGGCAAACTGGAAGCAGTGGGCTGCTTTAACACTGAACAATTCAAGGTGTATTAACTAACAGTATGTGTGGAAAAGGGTCATTAGTTTCCACTATACAACAAGGGATCCTCGCATTTTCACCCATAATTCCACACTGTCCTGCTATGCTGGAAGGAGGACAGGAGACACTAGATGTGGTTTAAATTAGGCTGCAATCTTATTCCTAAATGTCTGGAAGTACCCGTCAAATAAAAGTGTACAGTGCTGGTAGTTCCATAATCATTTACACATACCCGGGAGCAGGGGTTACCCATCCTAGTCCCTAGCCAACCCACTGCTGGGACCCTCCCCCATCAAATGAGGGTTAAGGCGTGCTATAAAGGAGGGTTGGTTGGCTCTCTGCCATACCAGTCATAGGAGCCCCGAACCCCTGTTTCTGCTCCTTTAAAGAATACCTCCTTTAAATCATTTACTAATCCACTTTATCTGATCACATTATCCCTTCCCTGCAGAGTACCTGCACAGGATATCAGCCCCATATTTACATAATGAGTTGCAAATCATAGCCTAACTTCTGTTTCATATTTTCCCCAACTAAGCCATGTAACCCTCTGTCAGGAAGGTGGGGGGAAAAAACCCATCTTGCCTTGGCCAATCTGGCAGTGAGGGGAAATGTCCTTTCCAGCCCCGTGAGAAAGGAGCGACTGGTGGAATGGCCACCATGGATCATGACAAAGCCCGGTATTTAACTACTTCCATGCACGAGAAGATGGGTGCTGCTCCACCTGGTCCAGGTAAAAGAGGGTTTTTCCTGCCCCAGTGTGGACCTAAATAGTTCCCCCTCTCTTCTGCTCACCTGGTGTGGGATGGGACACTGACCTGGTCAAGCTGCCACAGCAAATCACTCTGGCACTCTAGTCTCTAAAGGGCCCACACTCCTTTCTCTGCAAGCCAGATAATGGCCCCCACTGCTTAATGTGCAGTGAGGTCATTTTATTTAAGAACATAAGAATGGCCATACTGGGTCAGATCAAAGGTCCATCTAGCCCAGTATTCTGTCTTCCAAGGGTGGCCAATGGCAGGTGCCCCAGAGGGAATGAGCAGAACAGGTAATCATCAAGTGATCCATTCCCTGTTGCTCATTCCCAGCTTCTGGCAAACAGAGGCTAGGAACACCATCCCTGCCCAACCTGGCTAATAGCAATTGATGGACCTATCCTCCATGAATTCATCTAGTTCTTTTTTTAACCCTCTTATAGTCTTGGCTTCCACAACATCCTCTGTCAAGGAGTTCCACAGGTTGACTATGCATTGTGTGAAGAAATACTTCCTTTTGTTTGTTTTAAACCTGCTGCCTATTAATTTCATTTGGTGACCCCTAGTTCTTGTATTATGAAAAGGAGTAAATAGCACTTCCTTATTTACTTTCTCACCAGTCATGATTTTATAGACCTCAACCATATCCCCCATTAGTCGTCTCTTTTCCAAGCTGAAAAATCCCAGTTTTATTAATCTCTCCTCATACGGAAGCCGTTCCATACCCCTAATCATTTTTGTTGCCCTTTTCTGAACCTTTTCCAATTCCAATATATCGTTTTTGAGATGGGCAATACATCTGCACACAGTATTCAAGATGTGAGCGTACCATGGATTTATATACAGGCAATATGATATTTTCTGTTTTATTATCTATCCCTTTCTTAATGGTTCCCAACATTGTTAGCTTTTTTGACTGCCGCTGCACATTGAGTGGATATTTTCAGAGAACTATCCACAATGACTCCAAGATCTCTTTCTTGAGTGGTAACAGCTAATTTAGACCCCATCATTTTATATGTATAGTTGGGATTATGTTTCCAATGTGCATTACTTTGCATTTATCAACACTGAATTTTATCTGCCATTTTGTTGCCATTTATAATTTAACTCTCCCACCACCCATGCAGATCACATCATTGATGTACACAAACAAGAATGATACCTTGCCCTGCCCAGCAATTGTTTCAATAAGGAAGTCTGTTCTCACGTTGTCGACATTTGGCACCAAGATGGAACTATACTCTGGAATGCTGTTAGTGGGGTACACATACTCTTCAACACGAGTACTCCAGTGCATCCATTTACCTAGTCAGAACAGAATAAATTGATACTTCCAAGCTACAAAGAATTTGCTTCTATCCCATTCTCCAACTAGTAGTACAAGTGGATTGTTACCTATGAAGTTCTCTTACCCTGTCTGGGGCAGTGGTTCCCACAGGCAAAACCCACCCACTATAATGATCAGCAATTAACTTCACAAGGAGTATTCTTAAAAACCCATGGGAAGGGCCACATGACCTGTTGTTACAAGTGACACTTAAGATGAGAGAAACACCTTCCAGCTTGCTTACATTTGCTCATTTGACAGTACTTTGTGATACAAAGTCCCTGTTTCCTTGTGTAGTCAGTTTCCCTTGTTTTGGTATCTTACAGCAACAGGGAGAAACTTTATTAAAACCAGTAGTAAAGCGTGATTTTAAAACAAAAACTGCCAGGGAACATGGGAAAGTATACAACCTGAAGTGCCTTCTCTATTAATTCTATGAAATATACTCTTTCAAGATCATGTCTCTTCAAATGTTATCTGGTATATGCCAGTGGGTTACTAACCATCAGTTGCCACATAGTAGTCAAACATGGTATCTTCACTTCCTTCTGAGATATGGGGAAGATCAAGCTTTATTTTTTTATGATTACGAAGCCAGTGCTCCATTTTGCATCTGTCTTCCAATTCCAGCAATGCTCCAACACTCCACATGAGGGAGAAGACGTACAGCCTTTCCAGGTACTCTGGTGTTACTTCCCCTCCTTGCTCCTGAGAGGTAAAGCATTGTTTTAGCTACTTTCAAGGCTTAAGGCCTTTCCAAGAAACAATTCCTACATCAGACTCTGCTTTATATGTCCAAGTTGAAAACCTTTAGCTTTGATTTACATAAGTCTCAATAGGTGTCCCTACCCATGCTCTGGGCAACCATTACACAAACGAAGAGCTACAATACATACTGTGTCATATTATTTATTTTCCCTAATTCAGAAAAATAGCCATCGGAAAAAAACCCATAGCAAACAAATAGCTTATTTCTCTCCAGAAGCCCAGGGAAAGATGAGTAGTTGGTTTATTAGTTCATTAAAGCCCTGACTCTGCAAATACATATGTTGAATGGGTTACACTATGACACAAGTAGTCTCACTGCATTATGGATATGTGGTTACAGGATTCAGGCCTTAGACTCAAGATTCCTTAGGGCAGAGACCTATTATTTTTAATGCCTATAGCGTAATGCTCTTAAGAGATCTCTTCCTGGAATATACATGGAAAATTAACATGATGCAGTATGCAACTGCTCGCTTATTAAATGATGGCTCTCAGAAGCAGCATATGTTAACAGTGCTCTGAGACTTGCACTGGCTGAATTTGTATTTTGGTAGAGTTTAAAAAGCCAAAGATGTTGTGGGTCTTGCCCGCCTGCAGTATCACACCTCTCCCCGTGCTATGCTGCCACAATTTTGGCTGGATCCCCTTTAAAAAAAAGGAGGCGCTGGAAGAACAATATTCATAGAAGCAGTTTTCTTTAAGGAGGCATGTGCTTCTCCCTCCATGGTCCAAATTTACTTGCCTTCCAGGCATGCTGCTAAATTCATCTATTTGACTTGGCATAGTTGGAGGGCTGAGTCTGTTGAGATTAAGGTTTTTATATGGTGGCAATGCATGTAAAGAGGTGGGTTTGATTTACACATGGTAAAGTGAGTGGAAGGGATGAGTGCTGCTGCTTTGAAGTAAGTTTATTCATCTTATATTATTGTATTTTTCAATAAATGTCCCGACAGCCCTGAGCTTAAGGGGCATGCCATTGGGCACTGAGTATTAGACCAGAGGTGTTTAGTCTAAATATGGCCTGGTCTACACTAGCAGGGGGGAATCGATCTAAGTTACGCAACTTCAGCTACGTGAATAACATAGCTGAAGTCAACGTACTTAGACCTACTCACCGCGGTATCTTCACTGCAGTGAGTCGACTGCTGCCGCTCCCCTGTTGACTCCGCCTGCACCTCTTGCGGTGGTGAAGTACAGGAGTCGATGGGAGAGCGCTCGGGGGTCGATTTATCGTGTCTAGATTAGATGCGATAAATCGACTCCCACTGGATCAATTGCTGCCCGCCGATCCAGCGGGTAGTGTAGACATACCCTATGTTACATTTAAGGACATGAATAAAGTTATGTTTTCACATAAGGATAAGTAGATATGAATAGTTCTAGTGCAATTGGTCACATGCGGCATTGGTCTTTTTGCAGTATCCTCCATCAAGGCAATCCAGACAAATAAAAAATTGGCCTGTATTTTGTCTTTAATTAAATTCTTATTGAATAATTTTGCACAAATGTTAGTGTTTGCTTACAAGAGTTCCCTGACAATATGGAAAACAATTCGACTTTTAGAAGAAGCGATTTGTTATCAGAAAGATAACAACAGCAAGTCAGTTGGTTTGCCAGCCGCATGCTAGTATTTGCACTGGCATTTCAATAGCAAAGAAACAAAGTGCACCTTCAAATGTGGCTGTAATGAAATTAAAGTAGGGGGCTCCAACTGAGAAATTAGGCTGCATCATGTATACACTTGAATTTTGCTGTAATGATGGTTAGTAATTACTGTATAGATCAAAGGGAAAATGATGCATAGAATCTTAGAATCATAGAATATCAGGGTTGGAAGGGACCTTAAGAGGTCATCTAGTCCAACCCCCTGCTCAAAGCAGGACCAATTCCCAACTAAATCATCCCAGCCAGGACTTTGTCAAGCCGGGCCTTAAAAACCTCCAAGGAAGGAGACTCCACCACCTCCCTAGGTAAC